ATGTTTGGTGTGATGGGGATTCGAACCTGCGACCCTCAGATTGCGAGTCGAGCGGCTTAACCACCTGGCCATGCCGGCACTACCATGCAAAGCTACTTGAAGGCTATGAATTTATTTACAAAAAAACTGAGATTATTAACCTTTTTGCTGTTGATTAAAATTACTGATGTTCATTTGTTGAAACCTTAATGAATAATTCTTATTTGGAATGGTGATTAGTTACCCATTTATAAAAATTTTATTTTCAATGAGCAAAAAATAATACTGTTATTAACAAACACTTCATCTTAACTACTAGAAATACTTTTTTTATTTTGCTTATTACTACCTCTCATAAGTGTAAACAAAATTAAATCACCAAATTGCCACAAAAACAAATCAAGCACCATCTTAAATATTCAGTGTTTTCAAACTTTAGAATTTCAAACTAGCATACATACAACAAGGAAACGAATGTCCATTTTCCAAGTGTTCACCTAACATTTAGGTGTCTTGTATTGTTAATGTTCTTGAAAAATTCCACTAAACGAGAGATGATTTCCAAGGTTATGTTTTAAAAACAGTGAAATTTCAATTGTAAAACTGTGAGTAAGGATACTGAGTCACCTACAAAGTTATGATATACTTATGTGTGTGTGTTTTCATAAAAGAAAATGTTTAGTAGTCAACAAGTAGTGGTAGTAGTAAAATATTTAGAACAATATTCTATATGGTAATGTACTTATAATAACCATGCAAATAATTAATTTTTAACTTGTAAATTAAAAAGTTTTATTCTAAACATAGTTATTTTGTTTCAAATACATATAACATAAAAATAACGCAGTTTCAAAAACTTACATGGTTCATGATGTGGTTCACCAAAATTCATTATCTTAAAAAAAATCAGTGTTTACATGCAATAACAACTGAAGTAGTAATGAAACAATTACAAATAAATATTAGCTATTCATCAAAATAGCCTTGCTCATTCTCAAAGAATGAAGGAAGCTAAGTGCCCTATGAAATAAGTAATACATTCACTGACTTCAATAGCATTAAGAACATCTTTAGAATTGGTTAGTTTTTTGGTGCTTTGCAAGAAAAAAGAGCATCCAAATTTAGCTCAGATGTTTAACTATATTTTCTCAATATGAAAGGAATATAAGTTTATAAAAGAAAAAATTTTTAAAGATTATGTTTTGTTTCCATGAATCTCCAGGCATGATAAATTAAACAAAAATTATACTAAAGTTTGAAGAGATTTTCCACAAAGCTGTGTTAAAAAGTTAGTTTCATACATGTAAGGCAAGCTCGGCAAAGTCAATCGTCACTGACATTAAGTGAAAACAGCAGTAACAAACACAGAAATTATATATACATATCTTTAAAAGATAACATCTAAGCTCAGTATAACATGGAATATGTTAGAATTATAACTTTTACAAACCAGTACAAAAAGAAAAACCTAATTTAGAATTTATGTGTATGTGTGTGTTTAACAGCAGAGAACTATTTCACTGATTTATAAGAATAGCCCTGTCCAAAAACTTTAAGATACAGTATTATTCAAATATAAATTACAAACCAGTACTGCAGAACAACATTCAAGAGAAAATCTTTACTTTTATTGTTGTAAAGGTGTGAGAAGGTTAATATTTATTAAGGAATAGAAAGAAATATCAAGCACAGTTATAAGTGTACACACTGTTGATTGAGTCACAGACGTTTTTAAGATCATCTATGTGTTATCTGTAAAACTGAAATTTTACAGACATATACCATGGAACAAAAGCAAAGAAGTCTAAAAAAATAAATACATATAATTCTGACAATGAAACGATTAAGACAATTGGAAGTGCAGCTTACAATGAAGTGAAATACTTTTATGGAGTGAATCATAATTATACTTTTTAATTGCCCCCATTTTGTAATAAAACCTCAACTCAATAATTATGTACCTTAACTGGTGTTACAAAATCTATAAAACGTTTCTTTAAGGTATGCTTTATAAACGATAGAAGCATAAATAAAAAAGAACAATATGAGGGTTGTCCAAAAAGTTCATGGCCCGACATAAAAAAAAACTGGAATGTAAGTTTTTCTGATAAATATTAAGTTTGAATCTTTTTATGAGTAAACAAAATGCAACATGTAACTTAACAAGCTTATTTTGTGTATTGCAGCTTTTTGAATGAAAGAATTGAGCAGTGTTAAACACCATGAAGAAGATTGAACTTCGTGCCATGATCAAATATTTTGTTAAAAAGAAAATGACACCGCAAGAATTTCACCAGGACATGGATGCAAAATTAGCAGTGGGTGCTCCGGCAGATTCAACAGTGTAAAAGTGGTGTGCTGAGTTTAAGCACAGTAGACAAACATGTAAAGATGATTCAAGGTCAGGTCGGCCATTGACATCGATCACAACAAAAATTGTAGATAAAGTTCATGATTTCATAATATATATATTAGAAGAATTACTGTTAGAAAGACAGCAGAGGAAGTGGGAATTCACAACAGTACTGCATCAAGCACTTTGAATGACAGTTTGGGTATGAGTAAGTTTAGTGCCAAATGGATTCCAAAAATGTCATATGAGCAGAAATGGATCTGAATTGATGAAAGCTAATGCCTACTCCAAAGGTTTCAGTAGATTTGTAGCTATGGGTGAAACATGAGTTCATCACCTCAATCCAGTGATAAAAATACAAAGTTTGCAATGCAAATACCAAAGTTCACTCACCCAAAAAAGTTAAAGTCACAACCCCCTGCTGAGAAGGTCATGGCATCAAGTTTTAGGATGCCAACGGTGTTTTACTAGTTGATTATTTTGAAAGGGTTCAACCCGTTGCATCTTTAATCAACAGCTTACATCAATAAATCAAAGAAAAGAGAAGAGGATTGCTCAAAAAAGGTGTGCTCTTCCATCACGACAATGCCCCAGCTCACAAATCGCAAGTTGCTTTGAATGCTATCCATGATGCTGGCCACAAATTACTCAATCACCCCTTTACTCACTGGATTTAGCTCCAAGTGACTTTTTTCTCTTCCCTAACCTTAAAATCTTTCTAAAAGGCAAAGATTTTAGAGTGATGATGATGATCTTGTACATACTGTCCAGTCATGGATTAAGGACAAAGAAGAACAGTACTTTCAGAAGGGCATAAAGGTCTTAGAGCATCACTAGTGCAAGTGTATAGATTCAGGAATAGATTATGTTAAAAAATAAATCATAGTTCAACAAGTGTCTCTTTTCTTTATAGGTTGGCCACAAAATTTTTGGACACCTCTCATAAAATCTCAGTTGAAGCTAAATTTACAGTAAAAGTATTATCACAACTTCTGCCATGAGATAATTCAAAGCTCTCAGTTATGGATAATAACCATTAACTTTGCTATGATATGATTATTTCACCAATTTGCCAGTGCAGAAACATTAACAAACTCAAATTTCCATTTTTGATTTTGACTGGATGTCTCACAGGGACTCATGAATAGTTCTTGACGTTCACTATCACAATCCAGACAGTTCCCAGTGATAGGATGTAATAGATGTTGACTGTTCTGAAAGTTAATGAAAATATGATATTTTACTTTAAATGTAAATCAGTATGTTCAAAAAATATTTGTATACGTTAATTGAATAGGGAATAATGCTTGGAATAATAAAATAAATATTTACTTAAAGGAAAGTCACAAAGTTTGTCTTAAATGTAAGTAGCACAGTTTTCTATACATGAAAATATCTAAAAAAGAAAAGATGACAGTTTTTTAATATTTTATAGCACTTTCGTGAAAAATTATATCATTCTTTTCTGATACAAAACTGTAATACATAAATTTCAATGAAACATATTTCCACTTTAGAAGCTATAACACATTACATATTCTATCTAAAACCTAATAACTAAAACCATATATGAATGAAAGCATGTATGATTTCCTGTTTACAGCACATGTTCTCACAAGCAAAAATAATATCAACAACAAAATAATTCAAACATAAATGGTGTTTACATAAAGAAAATTACAATAAACATGAGATAAATGAAAAACAAATGCAGAAGAAGATAAAAACAAGAAACTTACCAAATCATACTTCCAAAGTTGGTTTCCTTGCATGCCATGGCAATTCCACAGAACAACAGGTGCATGCGATTCTGAGCCGGAGACATCAAAACAAACACTTCTTTTGGCTGGACGGATATCTTTATGCCAAGTGAGGACAAATTGCTGAACAGTAAAAACACAAAAGCCACACTTTGCTAAACGAAGTGTTTTTTGGAAATGTGTTAAAAAGTTGAAATTAATAAATGTTAAGTGCACAAGTTCAAGAATCAAATAGTAAACAAAAGCCATATTTTCCATAAGTAAAACAAAACCAGAACCCAACTAAAACCAGTTTTGTTAAATAAACAGCTTATTAAATGTAAAAAGTACACATAGGTACCACTAATTAGGAAGCTTTTAATACATAAAAATGTATAGTCATTTTTAAAAAGCAGTTTATATTTAAAATATCTACAGAGGGTTAAGCAAATAAAATTAAAATATTTATGAAGAAGCAAATCACGTGACAAACACAGTTAATAAAAAATCTTGGTAGAATGACATGTATCAGAACTACATTTTGCTATTTTGTAGGGAGTATTTGTTTGTTTATAGTTAAACACAAAGCTACATATTGGGCTATCTGTGCTGTGCTCACTATAGCTATTGAAACCCAGTTTCCAGTGTTATAAGTAAACAGACTTATTCGTTGTGTCACTGAAATACCACCAAAAATAGATTGCTTTTTCTGGAGTGGTATGTAAAAGGTTTTTCCAGTATATGATATTCAAACACTCAGATCATAATGATGTATTCAGATCAGGAATCTAGGGTGGTATCCCTTGCATTGTAAAACAAAGGAATATGGATCAATTTGGGGCACTAGGACCATCCAAAAAGAGATCTGCAACAAATCATACCCCAGCAGTGGTAAGTAAAGTGTGTCATCTTGTAACGTGAGAAATAAAGAACACAAAGGTCAGTGGCAAAAGCAATCTACATACCCGAGGCAGAAGGACATACAAAAAAATCAAGGATCTCTGTTTGGAAAAGTGACGCAAGTCATATGTACACAAGTTTTATCCATGACATATCCATTCAACTGTTGCATACCTCAAGCAGCTGGAGAATGAAACGGGTATACTTGCTATTCTATACAAATACATACTATTCAAGTAACAAGGCAAAGCACCTATGAACTTCTGTGTGATTGGACTGTTTAAATGGGTGCGGGGAAACTGTCATCCTTAAACAGTAAGTGATTTATAGGAAAGCATGCAGGGAGAAACTATGTGCTTTTGACAAGACAGCCTTAGAATATTTTTCAATGGAAATTATGCTGCAGAATTATTATCAAGATGCACACTGTCAGATAGAGCATGACTGGATTTGATGACATAAACTGCAAGGATGTTTTGAGGCTCCAAAATTATTCAAATATAATGTAAACAACCTCTGTATACAGTTGCTGTTAAAATACAGTTTATCAAAGAAAAACTGCATACATGTATTACTGAATAAACAGCCAGTTAAGTGGAAATGGTTATGTAGTTTCTTTTTTTGATTAGCTTGTTAAGTGTAAAAAGTGTGTAAAAATATTGTCAAGTAACTATTCTAGTTTACATATTTATGAATTATTTCAGAGTAAAAGCAGTATAGTTTTATTTATTGTGAAAAATGATTTAAGTGGTTATGGAGTATATTGTATAAAGAAAAAATATGAATACACACAGCTAAAGTAAACTGATGGAACAGAGAATCAATAGACAGGCAACAATATCAATAACAAAGTTACATAAGTTTGTTTTATTTTTTTCTTTAAAGAAATGCTTTCTTTGGTAAGAAAATAAAATAGTTCATGAAGTTAAATTACATTATTTCTACTGCACTGTTGATCTGATCATCTTGAAAGAAGACTGATTGATATATTTTAAAAGCCAGATTTTAATACAACATGATTGAAGACTTAACTGTCCTTGCAGGATTAATTTATATATATAGAGAGAGAGAGCAAAAAAATCTGTATGTCTGTCTGTTTGTCCATTACCTAACTATTCCTAGGTTGCTGGGCTTATCTCGACCAAACTTTGTGGGGTGATAGTTTGGAACATGGGGCATGTTAATGGGGGTTCACAACCCCTCCACCCCTGTTATTGCTGTTATTGAGCATCTATTATCTTTGACGTAAGTTAACGTTAGCTACATTTATAAAGGGCGCCATGCCCTTACACCGAAAAAAACTTTATTAAAGTTTTCATAACACAACATATACACAGTTGGGGAAAGGCACACAAACGTCTTATATATATCTCTCAGAAAGTGTGCTAGCACTCTCTTTGGTGGAATGGAATGAAAAAATGACTGACACTATTGCAATAATACATAAACACAGCTAAAGTTTCTACTCCAACAGCCACCATAGGACTGATGTGAAGAGCCATTTTTTGAGTTATACCCACTTCCTACTTTGACCCATGACCTCTCAACCTCGGCCCGTAAGACACTTTTGCAGCCAATTAATTAATTATGTGAAACACCATGGAAAGACATTAAGAGCTGGGTGTTGAAAGCAGGTAACAGAAAGTACCCTGACCATTGCACATTGTCAAAACTTGCTTTTTTGAATAGTAGGATATAGTAAGTTACACATATAGGTGTGAGATAGGCTAAGGATTATTCTACAGTAGGTGTCTGACTTTTTGGCAATAAATTCATAAATAAACAAACAGCATGCACTCCACTTGTTTTCAAAATAATATATTTATATATATATATACACAGCGTGGTCACAAGTAAATAGACACCACCTTTTCAGAAAAAATGAAAATTTTCAGTCATATTCA